GAATGCTCGATGGCAACAAAATGGTATCACTGTAGCTGGAGGAAATCAACAAGGCAATGGAATCAATCAACTCTCAAACCCATCGGGTTTGTATGTTGATGATGATCAAACAATCTATGTTGCTGATCGAGCGAATCACCGTATTGTGGAATGGAAACGAGGTACAACGAGTGGCCAAGTGGTTGCCGGTGGAAATGGACCAGGAAGTGGAGATCATCAATTGTCTAACCCAACAGATGTGATTATCGACAAAGAGAGAGATAGTCTCATCATATGCGATACTTCGAATAGAAGAGTGGTTCGATGGCCTCGTCGAAATGGAACAAGTGGAGAAACAATCATCTCCAACATCTCTTGTTGGGGTTTGACAATGGACGAGAATGGATCTCTCTATGTCACTGACTATAGAAGAGATGAAGTGAGACGATATCGAAGAGGAGAATCTCAAGGAACAATGGTTGCAGGTGGCAATGGACGTGGAAATCGTCTCGATCAACTCTCTTACCCAACATACGTATTCGTCGATCGAGATCATTCAGTGTATGTATCTGATTGGAACAATCATCGTGTGATGAAATGGATAGAAGGTGCAAAACAAGGTATTGTCGTGGCTGGTGGTCAAGGACAAGGAAATGATCTTACACAATTGTTATCTCCTCTAGGAGTCGTTGTCGATCAATTGGGCACTGTCTATGTGGCTGATGAAGGGAATAATCGAATCATGCGTTGGCCTAAAGGAGCCACCCAAGGAAGTGTCATTGTTGGTGGAAACGGTAGTGGAGAACAATCGAACCAACTCCATTTGCCCGCCGGTTTGTCATTCGATCGACACGGGAATCTCTATGTCGTCGATTGGGGAAATCGTCGAGTCCAAAAATTCGACCTTCAATCCAATCCAAAGTGAACCCAAAAACATACAAATAACATTCTAAAAATTTTCATAAATGCCTCACCCCATTAATTAATTACTTAGTTAACTAATTAATTAATTAACAAAAGCAAAAATTAATTAACAGTCTATTCCAATCACATTGTAGACGAATAAATACAACTAACCTTAATTCGATACAAAAACACACATTCTATAGTAGGAAACCTTAAAAACACATAAAAAGGGAAACAACAGTACAGAAGGGAGACCTGGCTGACTTTCCTAAAAACGGAAACCTTGGATTTTCCCTGACGATTCCAAGGATTCCATCAGAGGAAACAAAGTGTGGCATTTCGAATATTGTAGATCATGATGACTTCTATTAGATTCGAAGGATTCCAAAAGATCGCGAACTGGGAACCCACGAAACTTTACACCTCCTTAAAACCCCTATGGCCTTCATAGGACTTTTGAGGCATTACCCAGGACGCCA